TTTTATATATAATAAATGCATTTTGATTGACACACTGAACAACCAATAGTAGTTTAGTCTGACTTTGCATTGGCCAATATGATCAAAGTTGAGCTTGTGTCATTGCGCCCCCCTGTGGCCACTCAGTCTCATCATGTTGTTATTAAAACTAACGTGGTGAATCTGAGACTGATAAGCAGTAGCACAAACCACTGCTAAGAACTACTACTACTACTTAAAGTATCATTACGTGTCATGTTGGTGCTAAAACGATACTGAAGATAATGAAGTTGTAGTGTGCACAGAGCCACTGAAGCCTGGGAAACACACATGCTGCTTTGCCTTGTATTGTTCATCCAAAAACATTTGTCTTCTGCTTATGTGCATGAACTTCTTGGGTTCTTTTTAAAAACAATACAGTAGGAGTTGTATGTACCTTGCTGACACGTTTCAGCTGCTATCCAACTTTTGGACAATTACAAGAAATGACTGTGTTATCTTAGCATGCTAATCGGTGCTAGCTTCTATGCTAACCTCCGCTATCCTTCACTGAAAATGTCTTCAAAACCATTAACTGTGGTTTATTTTACTTAATCCTTTATCTAAATTAAAGGTGCTGTGTTGTTAAAAGTGTCATATTTGTGCTTGTTTTGGTAGTACGGCAAAGCAAGTTTATTTGTAAAGCACAATTCGTACACAAAGTAATTCAAAGTGCTTTACAGAATAAGAAATACATTAAAATCATAATAAAAACAAATCAAAACATAAATAATCATAAAGATTAAAATTTAAAAAGAGAGACATAAATTGGAGAGAAGAGTGCGGAATGAAAACCTTTCAGTTATATGCACAAACAGAAATGTTTTGAGCCTGGATTTAAACAGCGTCACAGAAGAGTCTGTCTCACATGTTCAGACTGTTCCAGGTTTTAGCTGCATGAACCTGAAACGCTGACTCCCCTTGTTTAGTTCTGACTCTGGGCACCAGCAGGAGGCCGGTCCCTGAGGTCCTCAGAGTGCGAGATGGTTCATATGACACTAACATGTCACAGATGTACTTTGGTGCTCGGCCATGGAGAGACTTGTACACAAGCAGAGCTGTTTTAAAGTCTCTGAGCCACAGGAGCCAGTGCAGAGACCTGAGCACAGGACTTATGTGCTCGTACTTCCTAGTTCGAGTCAGGACCCGAGCTGCAACGTTCTGGATGTTCTGCAGCGTCTCACAGCTCGTTTGGAGAGACCAGTGAGCAGAACATTACAGTATCTAACCTACTGGAGACAAACGCATGGATAAGTTTCTCCAAGTCTGATTTAGACAGTAAACCTTTGATTTTTGCTATGTTTTTTAGATGGTAAAAGGCTGTAGATGTTATTGATTTGGTGTGGCTGTTGAAGTTTATGGTAGTAGCATGTGTTCCTGTTCCCCTGTGCTGCTCACATGTTTCAAAGCACTATCCAAATTTCATGTCAAGTGCATCTTTTGTCACTTTGCTGTTATTTTGGTGCAGATTATCAGAACTAAACTTCTTGTTGTGCTAATAAAGTAATGCACATTACTTCAGGCTAATGTATGTAATGTACATTACTTTATTACCACAGTTATGCTATTTTATTTGGTTTATTTACCTGGAGGTATGGTAAATGTAAATATCATGAACTTTATTGTTGTACAAGATGTTCATTATTGATTTAGAGATGAGAGTTTTGAATGTGTAAACAGTAGCAAGGATAGTATAGCAATACAGTGCATTAGTTTACGATACTTTATTCTGGCCTTATCCTTAGGTGAGGTTTGTTGTTTGGACTGGAGTTGAGAACTGCAGACGTGCAGAGGAGAAATGATCATCTTCCAGTGCTGGATGTCGAGTCCCAGCCCAAAGAGTCGAACAAACTGGTATTTGTAGTAGGGATGGGCATGATTAGTCGATTGATCGATAATTGATCATTAAGAATTTCAACGATTACGTTAATTTTAATCGACAAACTGAATGTAGGTTGCTGTGCGTAGTGTGACCAAACAGGGTCCGTACATGTGTCTCTGCATCAGAAGGAGCGAGACACAAACAGTCGGTCAGTCTGCAACGTACCGAAGCACAAATGTGTATTTAACGATGATTTGTACAAGAAATTCCAGGCTTTCTGTTGTGTTCGGGACAAGTGTGAGTCCATGTGCACAGTGTATAAAGCAGCACATATGTTTCGGTGTCCAGAGGAAAAAAGCTTTACCAGGTGAGAGTCGCGCAATGTCGATGACGAGTCCCCACCTCCCTCCCCCCGTACGGTGTCCTGGTTTTGACAAACGCAAATATGGTCACACTAACCTGTATTCACCTGAGTCATGTCTTTTAATCCGACAGAAGTTGAACCGCATCAGCGACACAAGAGCTGTAGTTTTATCTTCACTGAGTTTATGCAAATTAGCGGTTTTAAGTTTCGTTTCTGTGAGAGTTGCGCAAAACTGAATTAAACACATTATAATGTCAAACGAATTGATGTGGCTCTAGAGTCGCTACGGTTTATTTGTCGTAAAGTTGAATTTATTTATGCAGATTAGTAGTGCAGATAGTCATAATAATGATGATCATTTTAATATAAAAACGTTAATGATTAATCGATAATCAATCGTTAATTCTTCCGACGATCGAAAATTTCATCGAATGCCCGTCCCTAAGTTGTAGACCGACTGGCTACAAATATGTTGAACAGTGAACGAACACTGAACAGACAGACACAGACCTTTGACTTTTGACTTATTGTTGCTTTTGTAAAACAATACTTGAATTCACTCATAATTTAGCCTGAATACAAATCATTCTTGACTTTAATGCAAACTGTTGTCTGTGTCCTCTGTTGTTTTCTCCCTCAGGCTCCTTCGTATCTAGAATCTGTCTGAATCTGGCCTGTCCTTCATTTCTTTCTTTCTGGTACACAGGCTAAACTTAACTACATTGCCATGACTAAACACTATAAAAAGTGTACAGAAAGCATTGTGGTGCAATGGCAACGTATCGATATGGATGGTCTGTGCAGCTCGTAAGTGCACTGAAATCGATGCTTCCTATTGGCTGCTCCACTTGTGCATGTCTTGGTGTCTAATGGTGATTGGTGGCTTGGCAGTCCCATAGGTGCCCTGTGTTTAACGTATTCACTTTATGAGCTATAAAAGCAAAATAGATAATCAATACTTCGCAGTCTAGCAGGGTGTGGGGTGAGCTGAGGGTACGCAGCATGGATTCGTTACTAAAGCTGCTAAAAATTGGAAGTGCTGTGTGTTTTCAGGTGGAATTAGTTTAGTAATTTTCGTTGTTTTTATGTGTTTTTCTGTTTTAAATGGCTGTAATTCTAAGTTCATCAAAGGTCCTATAGCACACAAAACTGACTCTTGTGACCTTTAAACCATGTTATTATGTTATTTCTTCAAGATCCTTGGAAGTAACAACATTATAACATGATTTAACGCTCATGTGAGTCAATTATGCATAATATAGGACCTTAAAAATAGACGTAAAAAAGTAAAAATGGTGATTGTAAAATACAGATTCATCACTGTACACCTCAGTTTCCACTTTACAATGAGTATAGTCAATCTGTGTATCATCCGTTCATTCGCTTTTCAGTATAAAACCAAAAATAAGAAAATGAAAAATCAACAGTTTTCTTCATTATTTGTCTCCAAAACCAAAATGAAAAAACAGATAACAGTTTTCGATTTTGTGTTTAAATGAAAAATGGAAAAAATCGGATAACGGCCGTTTCCGTTTCTGTGACTTCTGGACTTTTGCACCGCATATGGACGGGACCAGACCGGAACAAGACCGGGACTGAGACCGGGACCAGACCGGGACTGAGACCAGACCGGGACCAGAGCAGGGACTGAGACCGAGACCAGACCGGGACCAGAACGAGACAGAGATCAGGACTGAGACTGGGACCAGACCGAGACTGAGACCAGACCGGGACCAGAGCGGGACTGAGACCAGACCGAGACCAGAGTGGGACTGAGACCGAGACCAGACCGGGACCAGAACGAGACAGAGATCAGGACTGAGACTGGGACCAGACCGAGACTGAGACCAGACCGACCAGAACGAGACAGAGATCAGGACTGAGACTGGGACCAGACCGAGACCAGAGTGGGACAGACAGACCGAGACCAGAGGGACCCGGACCAGACCGACCAGAGTGGGACAGAGACCGAGACCAGGACCAGGCCGGGACCAGACCGAGACAGAGATCAGGACTGAGACCGGGACCAGACTGAGACCAGACCGGGACCAGGACCGGACTGAGACAGAGATCAGGACTAAGACTGGGACCAGACCAAGACTGAGACCAGACCGGGACCAGAGCGGGACTGAGACCGGGATCAGACCGGGACCAGACCGGGACCGAGACCGGGATCAGACCGGGACCAGACCGGGACCAGACCTGGGACCGAGACCAGGACTGAGACCGGGACCAGACCGGAGGCTCAGAGCCCACGGCAGGGCCAGAGCTCAAAGCTGAGGTTAGAACCCGGCGGAGGCTCGGAGTCAAAGCTCGAAGTCCACTCTGGTCCCGCTCTGGTCCCCCTCTGGTCCCGCTCTGGTCCCGGTCCTGGATCAGTCCTGGTTCAGTCCATATGCAGTGCAAAAGTCTCATAAACAGGAAACGGCCGTTATTAGTTTTTTCCATTTTTAATTTAAACACAAAATCGAAAACTGAAAAAACAAATCATTATCTGTTTTTTCATTTTGGTTTTGGAGACAAATAATAAAGAAAATAGTTGCTTTTTTCATTTTCTTATTTATGGTTTTATATTGAAAAACAGATGAACGAATGACACACAGATTATACTCTTACCGATTAACAGTGACGCTGCTGTTAACGACCCTTGTATTAACCCGAATTGTGCGTAGCGAGCGTTTTCTCTGATTGCTTTATTTCCATTTGCATATGCGCCGGTATCGATATAACCGTTTCGCTGACTGTGCCGTGTGCCTGAGACCTCTGACCTCCTGTCTTCTTCTTTTTATTCTCCAGGTGATTCTGGTGGGCTCCTCCATAAACGAACGCGACCAGATGCTGTTCATAAGCGTGGACGAGGGCTCCTCCTTCCAGCGCCAACCGGTGAACTTTAACCCCGACACGCTGCTCTTCCACCCCACCGAGGAGGACAAGCTGCTGGCCTACTGCAAAGACGGCACGGTGAGTACACGCAAATACTAACGGGGGAACTACACGACCAGTCAGGAAGTGTTTTTATTTTCTTTTGTTTACAACTTTCTACATTTTAGAAACATACAGAAAGCAATAAAGGGCCCATATTACGACATTTTCTGATTTATGTTCAGGGTCAGTGATGTTTTGCAGGTTTCAAATGCTCAAAAAATGAAAATATAATGGCATACAAAATGTGTACTTTTTTCTGGTATATTTAAGTGTATATTTTATCATTTTGTATATACCCCTTGAAAAAAAATCTACATTTAAAGCCAGATACATCTTAAAATTGTTAAAATTGTATTACATTTAAACTAACTTATATTATTTAAAATGATCAAAAACACAAAATGAAATGATACAAATAAACAGCAGGTCATTATGTATTTATTGTTTTTGTTTTTTTTCCCATAAAGTTTTGAAGAATTTCAGAATTTGCCCAAATACGTAAAAATTTAAAGTAGTTGTTTGTGTTAATTTTGAAAATACTTTAATATGTTCATGCTCAGACTTTTAAAATTATGCCACAGAGAAAAGTTTTGTCAATTTTGATGATTCTATTTATGATTCTATGTGTGATCCCTTTCACCAAATGACATTCTGATACTTTAAACCAGTAATACTTTCAAATTTGGTTTCTTCTTCCAAATGTGTATTGGTACAGCTAAAGTGATATTAAAAAGTACATTTAAACATTTATATATTAATAAGTAGAACTGGCTTCTAGGCACAAAAATGCTTATATCTGACCATATAATGTTGTTTACTCATCATAAACAGACCTGGAGTTGTGTTTTGTTTCATTCACACAAGTTTAACGCACAAACCCTGCATGTTTAGGCTGAGTTCTTTTCTCAAACAGAAAACACTCTGGTCCACCTTGTGATGTCATGCGGTAATAACAGGATGTTTTTAAGATTTTTTTCAAGATTTAAAACTTACATCAGGTTATTCATCTTGTTTCCAGATTTGTAATCTACTTAATAGGTCCGAAACAGCTTAATTCTAGTCTAGAGGTCGTTTATTTTAAGATAACTTGTCAAGTAAAATGATCTTGCCAGATAATGGACAGATAAATTCACAAATTTTAAGTCATTTTCTGATAGATTTAAGTGTTTATATCTTAAATTTTGGCCAAGCTTTTTGCAGTGTGTTAACTTGAAAAGGTGGAACAGAGCATTTTGAGCTTTGGAGATGGAGACAGACTAATTTGTGAATGAAAAAACGCAAACCCAGGTATGTTTTTGATGAGGTAACAACATTATAACATGGCTTCACAAGAGTCAGTTTTGCATAATGTAGGACCTTTAAATTTTGATGCAAGATATATAGAATTACGTAGCAAAACCTCAAAATATATAATCACTATATTTTTTTTATATTTAAATTCTGAAAGTAGCAACGCTTTTCTTTGTTGTCAGCACCTTCTCTCAATGAGCTTCTCCTGAAATGTTTTTTTTTACTTCACATCTGTGCCTTGTCAGAGTCAAGAAATGCCAAAAGTGCAAACCAGGAGAGAGCATATGGTGGCCATTTTTATTTTTTTTTATTTTTTTATGTGAAACAAGTTCTGCCTTTTGTTTCCATCACAAATGTTTAACTCACAAATCGTGCAGAGAGGAAGTGCTCCACTGTGTTTTTAACCTCCATACACCTTCACTAGAATCATTTGGGTCATTTTAGCCGTGGAATTGCAAATCTCTAACGAACAAAAGGTAAAATGAAGCTGTTAACTAGAGGGAACAGCATTCTAACATGGCTTAAAGCTCATAAGTAGCCATTTTGCGTAATGTAGAACCTTTAACATAAGCCAATAGTTTATGCACAGGGCAGAATGTAGGAATGTGGGCACAATTATATTTTCTTCCAGCGGCCCCACAAAAAAAACGGTCTTATCAAAGCAGACAGAGGTTTCCACAGTGCACTCCATGTTCTCTCTGTAGCTCATGGCGCCAGATTCTGCATGAAGCGTTTTTCACCGCAACAATCCGTTTGCACACGTCCCCGTATCGCACGAGCTCCACCGGACACGGGATGTACCGGAACGCCATACAGCTGCAGGGGACAGGGACAATCAAAGCCAAGCAGAATTCAAAGGAACGCACAGAAGAAAATGTAAATGGCGTTTGAGGTTTGCAAAGTCTCCTTCCGGTCCAATTCATACTTTCACAGTCTCTGTCTCTGTAGATTTAGACAAACTTTATTGATACACAAGGGGAATTATTTGGACACAGAAGCTCATACATCACAATATAATATAATAACAAAGATAAAAAAATATAAATGATAATAATAAATTCTAAATAAGTAGCAAAAAAATGGTGAAAGACAGGTGTTAAATAAGGCATAATTATATAAATGTATGTAAAAGTACAAATAAAATAGAAAAATAAGTAACTAGATAGAAGTTACCATGGTGACACAACGCACACATTAGTACAAAAAAGTTTTAAGATTATCGGAAAATTCACTTTAATGGTTCTGTTTGTTGTGTTTGATTTTCAACAAAAACGTGAGAGTGACTAAATTGAAAAAACAAAAAACAGAATCATCTCGCCTGTGCAAAACTAAATGCAAACTAAATCAGATTGTATTAAACTAAAGCTCATATTTAAAGGTTGTATGGAGGATTTTTAAAAATATTTTTTCAAATTGTCAATGAAAGTTCAAAATAGAATTATAAAGAAGAAGCAGCCTTGTAATTATGATGACCAAAAAAAAAAAGAAAAATCCATCAACTGTGAATGTAGTGAGGGCAGATAAACATCAGCCAATAGATAACAAGGCTACCTCTTTATCTATTGGCTGTTAGGTTGTCAATCAAATTCCCTACGTTTCTAGCGTCGCTGACTTGCCGACGCGCTGGGATTGGGTGGTTTATGTTCGCGGTTCATGTTTAGCGGTTCTTGGCGTCTTTTTTGAACTGTAGCTCTCAGTTTGCACAAATTTTGTTTTAATGGCAGAGAAGAATTCACGACCGGTTCGCCGCAAAAGAAAGTCAGTTTTTGACGTTGCTGAAAGAAGAAGAGAAGGGGAAAAAAGGACAAACAGTCGCTGCATTTCTCTTTCCTCGGAAAATCTTCTATACAACCTTTAAGGCTACGTTTAGACTGCAGGGCTTAATGCTTCATTTGGATTTTTTGCGAGGTCGTTCACATTTCCAATTAAATGTGACTTGGCCCAATGAGATTCATTTGGTCTTCTGATATTTTATGATATTAGGTTCTTTTTACAGATCAAGAGTTTGTTTTTCATACCTGACAGTTTCGACTGCTCACTAACGGACACGTCACAGCAACATCCAACACCACGTGACCACTCTGAGGAAGACCGCTAGTGAGCAGTCGAAATTGTCAGGTCTGAAAAACAAGCTCTTGGTCTGTGAAAAGAACCTAATAACGTAAATGCTACTTGTGTGTGATCTCCAGTGGGAACTTTAAACGCCTCAAAAGTGTCCCGCATGTGCATTGGAGGACACAACGACGTCACAAGCAGCTCTGTGTTTACGGAAGTCACCTAAACGCTGGGCTTGTCTCCCAAAATACGGTGCAGTTCTTCATAAAATGGACAGGTTACACGTCCACGACCGGAGTCTTTAGCCTCCTTGTATTTGGGTCACAGGCTCTTTATTTTTGTTGATGTTCTGATAAGACCTCTCCAATTTGGCTTGAATACATCCCCCCAAATATTAATAAAGTCTCTAACCTCGCTTTCCCTCCATTGACTAGACTCTGAGCCTGACGTGTAGGTCGGATGAATGCGACCTGGCCGTTCAGACTGAAATCGCATGTCAAAAGATCGGATATGTGTAATGTAGAAACAGAGGGAGGACCCAAAATGCAGGACTGTTTTAAAGTATTTAAAACAAACCCATAAATCCCAAAAAAAAATCTAAAACTTGAAACTAAACTGCCACGACATGAGACAAGATGAGACGCTGACAGTGACAATGGACCAACAAAGGGCAGAGGAGAGCACAGGGTATAAACGCACACAGACACAGGTGAAACACATTAGGGCAGGGCAAACAATCAGGACAGGAATAAAACTCAAACTACAAACAGACAGGACTAATGTCAAAATAAAACACCAAGGGCACACAACACTACAGGAAAAGACACACCAAAATAAGCAAAAACAACAACTATATAACATGAACCATGACAATATGTATCGGTTTTAGGAGCACATATCCAAGTGTCCTGGGTCGCATTTGAAAAAAAAACGGATCTGTGTCGTTCAGACTGTCATTAAAAGATCAGATTAGGTCACATCGGGGGCCAAAAAATCGAGTATGGGTCACTTCAGGCTGCAGTCTGAACGTAGTCTAAGGCCGGGCGTACACTGTGCGATTTTTGACCCTTTTTGAGCCAATTTTTCGCTCGTGCGACTGTTTTGGGGATCGGGCCGAGTTTTGGCTTCATCGTGTGTCGTGCTTCGTGTAGTTTACATGGGGTAAAGAGAACCGATTAATGACTCACGACCAGCTCCCGATCGACATTCGTAGGTCGCAAGAAAATCAAACTTGTTTGAAATCCAGTCGCCTCTCGTGAGGATTTCGCTCTGTTGAAGTTGTTCCACGAGCCGATTTGCCAGAATCTGGCAGACTGCGCATGCGCGGACGCAGAAGTGGCTCAGCATTGTGTCTCCGCACATCTGTGGTTTTCTAATTCCGTGGTTTTTTTTTCTTCGTGGTTTTCTACTTCCGGAACAACAACTTTGACAACTCCGGTCGTTATGTGAACGTACAGTGTGAGCAGGCAAGTCGCATCCGAGCATCGGTTCGTTCAGTGTGAGAACATGATTCGTGAGCTGTGAACTGTTAAACCCTGTGATTTGGTCGTACAGTTTAAGCTGGGGCTGAGTGACACGACCGAAAATATCGCACAGTGTACACCCGGCATTAGTCTCACAAAGCCTCAGACAGAGCAGAACCTACAGTTGGCATCACGATCCAGGAGATGTTTATGCCATCAGCTGCACAGAATATTGTATAGTATGAGAAGGGTGAAGTGTCTTGCTCAGGGACACAATGAACATGCAGTGCCAGTGGTAATCATATCTGTTTATCGCTTGATTTCTCTCCTGCATGTAACTTTTCGTATCTGCTTGTCTCCACAGCTACATTACTGTTTTGCCTTGTTGCAAACCCCCAAACCTAAACCACAAATCTTACATTGTGCGTTAATAAGCAAATCCTTGTAAAATATTGTGAAATTATTAAACCTAAAAGACAAATTAAGGTTCCGTGGCAATTAAATGAACAAGTCAACAATTCTGCGGTAAGCCAGCAGGGTCAAAAGTGCAAGTCTGATTCAAGTGCTCTTCTGCTTCAATAAGTAACCAGAATTAATAACCAGAATGAATGTCCTGACTGCAGACATTACTTTATAAAGGATGAGTTCTACTAATGTCAAATGAGATGGACTTAGTAGTACTCATAAAACTCCATCCAGGGAGCTTCAACTTACATCAATTGCCTACCTTATGACGCTATGACTAAATAAATCATGAAAAATGGATTACTTCTCCAACTAGACGCTCCGTAACTTAACAATTCTATAAAAAATTACAAAGCATGTGTATGTGTTTTGCTTGTTTTTTCATCTATGCAAACTTAAAGGTCCTATATTTATAAAAAAAATATATATATCTTTGTGTCATATAATAATGTTGTTACCTAGAGATTAGTTTCGTTTCATATACACATACTTTGAGTGATCAGTTATCATTAGTAGGGATGTAACGATATCCAAATCTCACGGTACGATGTTTTCACGATTTACATCTCACCCGATATTTTGTGGAGATTAACAAAATTGTGAATACGCTACTTTTTCCTCTTAAAATGCCTTGACAAGACTTAATCCAAAGAACTAAGATTTAAAAGTGCTTAGAACTGCCATTTCTGCACCAAAATGGAGCAAAGGATCATGGTCGATGTAGTTCCCTCAGTTTGTTTAGCTTTTGCTGCACCATAACAATGAGTTTAAGCAAAGAAACTTGTAATTCAACATATTGTGATGGCCCACGATATTATTGTAAAACTTTTGACAATACAAGGAGAAGATTCAGTTTGTCGACTGGACAAAAGTTAGTTTGATTGAAGACGTTTCGCAGCTCATCCAAGCTGCTTCTTCAAGAAACATCTTCAAACATCTAGTCGACAAACTGAATTTTCTCCTCGCCGTGGATTCTACCTGGACGACTGAGGGATTCTTCACACTTTTGACAATAGGATATCACAATATTTTGGTTATTGTTACATCCCTAATCATTAGTTTGTCTACATCTCCAAAATCTGCTCCACCTTATGATGCCATGTAGTTTTCATGTTAACGCTTCTCCTTTACCTTTTGTTCAGTAGAGACCGATAATGCCTGAAATCATCCAAATGATTCTAGTGAAGATATAATGAGTTTAAAAACACAATGGAGCTCTTCCTGTATTACCACAATACATCACAACAGAGTGTGAACACAGAGCTTTCTGAATAAGAAAGAATTCATCTTAAAAATCCACACCTCCAAGAATGTTTGTGATGAGGAAACAGTGTTATCACGGATCAGAAAATAGCACAATATGGACCCTTTAATGACACAAATCTTTTCTTTTTTTTTCCATTACCAATACCAGTAAAATTGCAGTAAAAATGAATTTATTTTCCAGAACATTTTGAGCTTTGGAGATGTAGACAGGTGAATAAATCAGGATTATTGAACATGTGTAAATGAAACAAAATACAGCTCAGATATATTTTTGATGAGGTAACAATATTATAACTTGGCTTGACGTGCACAAGAGTCAATTTTGTGTAATACAGGACCTTTTAAACATTTAAAAGTGAGTATTGTCCAGTTAATTACTTTGTTTTTTATTTCCTAGACAGACTTATAGACCAGTGTCACAGCACGGTTTAACTAAGTACAGTAAATACATGTTTTGTAATCCGTAACTGTAAGTATCAGCTGCTATTTTGATCCATTTTGTTTCTAAACTCTTCACCCTCCCCAGTCTTTCACACATAAGGGATCGCTCGTCTGCACAGATCAATACATTTTCATTATGGACTGAATCAATGCTCCAGCTCCCCGCTTCACTTTAACACCACACTTTTTCTCACAGCTCATAAAATATAAAATATAAAATATAGGCCAACCGCATACCTATTGAGTGATGGAATAACTTAGGTTTGCCAAGCATGAAATTTCTATGGCTTTGTATGTTTTATGTGTTTTGTTTTTTATTGAGTTTTTTATCTTGTTTTGTTACAGCTCTATGCTTCCACGGACCTGGGGAGGAAGTGGACTCTACTGCAAGAGAGAGTCACCAAGGACAAAATCTTCTGGTGAGTCTGAAACGCACCTGTTCGCCGTGTTGCAGTGTCGGTCTGGTACCGAGTAACAATGGACAGGTTAACTATAGGCTGGAACGCTAAAGTAAAACTGCTTGCATAAATATTTCAGAAATGTAGCAGGTTTGTTATCAGACTAACCCGTTCACCCAAAACTCATTTAAGTTAGGACTCAATTTTTGTGCTGAACCAACCATTTACAAAGACTGTTTTCCTCCATTCGTAAGCTATTATTTTTGTTTTAGATTTATTTATAAGGAATTTATTGATAATTGTTCTAAAAATAACATTTAGGACCATTTTACTGAGTGCAATAATTTAAAACCTTATGTACTTATACCTCTCTGCTTGTGTAAAGATGCTTGCATTATAGTGTTTCTAGTCTCAGTGCAAATTAAAATTAAAATGATTCCATTTGTATTGATATTAAATGAAAGGAAAACTCAGTAAAAATCAATATAAATATAGGACAAGTATTTCTTTATCTATTTCTTTAATAGGAAGAAGTCACATTAACAAGTGTAAATATGATGGGTTATAACAACCAAACTAATTTACTTGTGCAGTTCTTAGGTAGAAAACCAAAAGTACAACATAGAAATAGATGACGACAACTAGTGTCATAGTACTCGAAAATGGTCTTGGTCTCCAGACTGTTTCTTTACGGTCTTGGTCTCGGACTCGACCGTGTTTGGACTCAGTCTTGTCTCGGTCTTGAAGGAGTTTGGACTCGGTCTTGTCTCCGTCTTGAAGGTGCTTGGACTCGGTCTTGTCTCCGTCTTGAAGGCACTTGGACTCGGTCTTGTCTCCGTCTTGAAAGCGCTTGGACTCGGTCTTGTCTTGATCTTGAAGGAGCTCAGACTCAGCCTTGTCTCGATCTTGAAGGAGCTCGGACTCGGTCTTGTCTCCGTCTTGAAGGCGCTTGGACTCGGTCTTGTCTTGATCTTGAAGGCGCTTGGACTCGGCCTTGTCTCGATCTTGAAGGTGCTTGGACTCGGTCTTGTCTCCGTCTTGAAGGTGCTTGGACTCGGTCTTGTCTCCGTCTTGAAGGCACTTGGACTCGGTCTTGTCTCGATCTTGAAAGCGCTTGGACTCGGTCTTGTCTTGATCTTGAAGGAGCTCAGACTCAGCCTTGTCTCGATCTTGAAGGAGCTCGGACTCGGTCTTGTCTCCGTCTTGAAGGCGCTTGGACTCGGTCTTGTCTTGATCTTGAAGGCGCTTGGACTCGGCCTTGTCTCGATCTTGAAGGTGCTTGGTCTCGGTCTTGTCTCGATCTTGAAGGCGCTTCGTCTTGGTCTTGTCTCGATCTTGAAGGCGCTTGGACTCGGTCTTGTCTCGGTCTTGAAAGTGCTTGGACTTCATCTTGTCTTGGACTCGATGTCTGACACTTGACGAGTGTGATCATATTTCATTACGGCAGCTGCTGTCGGCAGTAAACTTGTACCGGTGTGCAGGAGTGCACGGGGCGTCTTTCTGCAGCTTCTGCACTCGTGTGGAGCCTGCAGACCTCAACAGCATGTGCCCTCACCTACCAGCGGGGTAGAAAACTGTAGAAAATTACAAAGAGGGTCTCGATGGGCCGTGGTCTTGTTTTGTCTCAGTCTCAACCTTTAAAATTCTTGTCTCGGTCTCGACCGTCAGAGGTCTTGGTCTTGTCTCAGTCTTGTGACTACAGCACTTACAACAACACAAGGAAATGTACAAAAAAAAAGTTTTGACTAATGACACATGACTAGTTTGATTTTAGCCAGTTCAGTTCAGTTACACTATTCTGTAAAAATGTGAAAAACTGGATCGCAAAACCACTAATACAATATGACTCATAACTTATAAACTCCCTCCATCTCCCTACCTCATCTTAAACCATGTCCTCCCTGTGCCTCATCCCTCTTGTTGCTCTTCTTGCACAAGTTCCCGGTGTAACTTTCCACATCTCAGTGCAACTCTGACTATGACACCGCTCGTGTTTAGAGATTCAAATCGCTGCCGAGGGTTTAGTCGCTGGCTCTAGTTTGTGTTGTGATACTAAATCAGGCAAACCTTCCCACCCAAAACCCCAAGTCTTGGCCTTTCTTTCCATACCAAACCATTTAACTTGGTGTTTCCTTAACTCAGAACACATTTTTACTGTTTTACATGGATTAGAGGTTTTCTGAGATATTGTCTTGAAGTAATACATTTAAGTCACGTTTAATAAGACCAGTTTGCTTTCTTGGTGCAATAATGTAGAACTTTATACAAACAGAGAGGAATTATAAAGTCGTTGTGGTAGCGATTCATTCATATACCACATTTCTGTCTACTTTCTCAAGAGAATCTAAGTGACTATCACATATAAATAAATACACAAATGAATAACAAAATAAATGAATAACTAAATACAATCAGTATGTAATTCAACTGGAAACAATCTCATGGAAAATAATGCATGAATAAACAGTTTTTAGTATTGCAATTGAACACTAAATCTTTTTTCGCTACCAAACTGTGGTGTTTTAATCGCATTATTTACTATTCCTGGTCATTTCTGTCAACTTTTTTAGTATTTGTAGCTTTCTGGTCAAAAATGTCTAAACTGTGTGCTGCCTCCAGTGGCCTCTTCTATTTCAAGTACCGTATTTTTTGGACTATAAGCTGCACTTTTTTCATGGATTGGTGTTCCTGCAACTTATACATTAAAATATACTGTATAATTTCAGATGTTGATTATTTTCACACTGACAGACGTGAATGAAAAATTTAAACATAAACTTATAAAGGGTGCAATCACACTAGCCTATGGTTCTATGGCCTGCACTCACACCTGCACACATCTACACGGCGCTGTTAGTTTACATGTCGTGCAGTAGTGCTATCGCTTTAGCAGAGAAGACAAGCCCAGTGGCAGAAATATGTCTTAAATAGTGAGACAGATGTGAGTCCTGCTGCGATACACGCTCCTCTGTGAGTTTACTGAGTTAACGACGCGCAAAGGAGTGAGGACAGACAGAGACGAGAGGCTGCAAAACTTTTGTCGCAGTCCGCAGTTCTCATTGAACGTAAGTGCAGATTCCCCGTACGTTTTGGAGCGGACTTTATTAGCTGTTTTCCTTGTATGAGCAACATCAGCGCACACACAGGGCTCGTATAGTAAAGTCTTGCATGTGCGCGTACATGAGCAACCGTGCCGTGCTTTGGCCCACCTCCTAGATTCATCATAAATTTCCCCTCAAAAATTTGCCTGATTCATCTGCCGGTTTCACTTCATGGAAACCGTCTGACCATTAGGATTCGTTCGCTCAATGGTAGGCGGGTACTTTATTATTTAACCAATCACTGCTGTTTGGTCGTGATGTATGTAATGCACCAAATCCCGTAGGAAGAAGGGCAATAGTGTCTTTCCCCTTGATAAACTTCACCAAATATTCTCTTTGTTCCGGCTTTAAATCCTCAATCTCGGGAATCGTTGCCAACACAGAATGTCTGTCTTCGTCTACATCCATCTCGACCGCTTTGTTTACTGTTGTGTTGTTCCACAAAAGAGACCCAGACAGGCACTTGAGTTTGACGTCATGGCTTCACAGCTCTTCACTGATTGGTCGGTGCGTGGTCTACAACTTCCGAGGTTCTTGCAAACAGTCTAGTGTATTCTGATTCCTGACCTAGTCGCTGAAGAGAAAAGAACTTGAGCGAAGGCAGTAGGCGACACCAGCCTGGCTACCAAAAAATATCACATAGTCCAGTGCGACTTACATATGTTTTTTATATGTTTGTTTTTTTCTTCTTCTTTATGCATTTTTTGGCTGGTGCGAACTTATAGTCTGGAAAATACAGTACTATGTGACACCACACAAGACTGCCCTGACTTACAGCTAGATGTTTCTGGTTACAAACATCTGACTGCAGGGGTTTGTGTGATTACCTGATCAGCCAATCACACTGCTCCTTATATTCTTAGACCCCACCCCTTCTCCCTGTCACCCTTTTCTTTAGTCCTACAGGTACTTCCTAATTTTGCAGCTCTATACACGCATAACAATTTCGGACTTCCGGTCATCGCACAATGCATACTGGGAAGGATCCTCTGAAAAAGTGAGCATCAAACCACCATGTTTGATTTTCCAATAGGATGCGTCTGTTGTCAAAGCCGATCTTTTCTAGTCTTTTGAACCACATTTTGTTTTGGTTCTGATATTGTCATATTTTAGTTTGGGATTCGGACATCGTAATTGTGTGGTTGTTGGATCCTAACAGCGGAAAACGGCTCGAGAAATGGAGCTTCGGAAGTTTGCGAACTCCATAAATGCAAAAGGGAATCAGATGTGTGACTGCAAACCTCCGTTCAAACTGTTTCCCTTCCCAACGGAATTGAAAAATAGTGAAAGACGAAGGCGATGGGCAGGATTGATACACAGGAAGGAAATCTTTGGCTGCCCAAGAAATCATCCCGAGTTTACAGCGAACGTTTTATATGTAGAGCGCCAACAAAGCACTTTTTCGGAGGATCCTTCCCAGCGTGCATTGCGAGGTGACCGGAAGTCCGAAATTGTATTTGAAATCTGATTCTGGGCGGAGTTTATGTGTTTAGTCCCACTTTAAACTTTTCTGTCAAAATGTGAAAAAAAGCTGGATAGCAAACCCATCAATAATACTTTAACCTACTTCCCGTACCTCATTCATCTTGTTGAACTTACGTAAGCTCCCGATGTAACTTCCCACCACCCCGGCTTCTGTTTAGAGATTCAAATCGCTAGCTGGAGGTAGACCTAGCTTGTGTGCGTTCTTCCCATAAGAGTCCCGTGATTTATACCAGGGCTCCCGAGGCACAAATCATCCTCCCAAAAGAAGCAGAGAGGCTGGTGGGCTACACTCCTCTGGGCTCCTCTGGTACGCAAGTTAGAGCTGCTAATGTCTCGCCATTAAAGTGAAGAATGGCTGTCAGTGAGCTGGAGATATGAGAATGTAGTCAGAGATGCATTGTGCTCTTCTATATGCACGGGCTATATAAATAACGG